ATATCATCCTGTTTCCCATGCTTCTTCAGGGAAGCGTGTATCCTGAGACCCTTGAGGGTCGAGAAGGTCCTATCACATACTGTGCATCTGTACGACAGATGCGAAATGGGCACACTTGGCCCAGCGCCGCCCTCATCGGAGACGCCCGCCTGAGGTACACTTGGTGCACCTGCCGATTGACAGGCACGTGTATTTATTTTATTATCCTGGCCAAGTCAGTTAAGTCTAACGGGCTGGCAACCCGAACGACTCTGAATTGCTGAGGACTGCTCAGGTTGCGATCTACCGCAATTGTGCACGATCACATTACGTGATCGCACGCACACGACCGGAGGTCGTGTACACCATTGACGCACGTCTGCCATCGAAGACGCAACTCCGACGCCCAGAATGGACCACTAGGTGGTCTGCGGTTGGATTTTCCCCTTCCAAGTAACTATGTCATAGTGTCATAGTTAGAGTAACTATGACATTTTTTTTTATCTGGGATTTGGTACACAAAAGTTGTTCGAAGCCCACCCTTTTGCAGAGGCCCTGGGCTGACCTTTGGCACCAAATGGCTCGGAAATCCTTATCCTCTCGGATCTTATGGGAGAGGGACCAAATGAATCTCTTTCGGGTTAACGCACGCATCGGCGGCCCCAACAACGCGCCTCATCGCCCGCCAATCGCGGTGGTCATCTGCTGGTGGTGTCTGAAACACTGAATGCCCCCTGTAAAACACCTAACCGTTAAGATCTTGATGTCGGCTCTTCCTAAACCCAGATCCACAGGCGCCCTGGCACTTTTCAGGGACCACACGCCCCGATATTTCATCGTAATACTAGTAACCACCGAGGCGATGTGCCTTCGCCTTGTAACATTGTTAGGAAACCGGGCACGGAATTCTTGGCCACTTTTCTCTCGTGCGCGTCATCGGGCGTGGAGTAGGTTCCCACGACCCTAGGCATCCTCAACCACACAGTGCGAGCCTCGCCTTATTACCAAATCCGGCACGTACTTGATCTGAGGCGAGCGGTATTCAGGCTCCAAAGCACCTCCCAGCTCTTTCTCTGGGTTGTTTGGCTACATAGGACACAATATGATTCTGTCTTTTAATCCTTGCACTGTATGTTCTAAAACAGTTTTGCGAGATATGCCAAAGTGACTCCGATGAGTGACAACCGGCCTGACTCTGGGTAGGAACATTCCTCCCACGTTTGGCTCGCGTTAGTTTCGGAAACCCGTTAACGCAGAATTTTATCATGCCAATAAACTGTCTGCCAGACACCAGAGTGGTTCCCTCACCAACCCAACTAGTGACAGCTGGAACCCTTTCACATTCTTTCAGTGCTGCACCGTCAACACTTCCGTGAAGAGACCGTGTCCAAAACTTTTGAACGGCCCGTCTGGACACCAAAAACTCGCCTTTGAAATTCCAGGACCTGTTCAACCGGTCCTTCAGATCAATTAAATGTGGCAAACCTAAGGCAGCCAGGCAGTTGGGGTGCGAAGAGGCACTTAGGACCCTCCAGCCTTCTGAGCGCCATGCCTGGTATGGCCGTCCTCAAACATGTCACTTCCAACCCCCCCCCCCCCCCTCACCTCAACCACAGGACCGTAGAATTATCCCAGTGGCGTATTATGTGGCAACGCCAGCCATTTTTTAAAGGAAGCTCTAATCAGGATATTGATTTTCACGGGGGTACCCAGCGTCCAAGGTCCGAAAACCAGCCGATGGTAAAGCCTTGTTAGGAGATAGAATCTCAATGCTACCATCGCTGTTGTGGTTTTAATGGGGCCTTCTTAATCCTAGCCAATAGTTCGACCACATCCTGCTGGATTGGCAATCCTCCTCGCCCCTTGGGGTCGAACATTATCCCCAGGTACTTCCATGTGGATATCACGTCCTGTTTTGGCAGATCCCTGCCAGCCACACGGAAGATGCAGGTGGTATCCACCTTCATTTTTTTGTCCCTTCCAGAGGGCAACAACGCCACTGTGGACGACTTGGCTTCATTCACTTCCAGGCCTCTCGGGCTAAAATCACCTTCGAGCTCGGAAAGCCTTTCTTGTAACGCCATAACGGTTGATGTAAAAATCACCAAATCATCGGCGAAGGCCATGGCATCCACGTTGAAGTTGCCACCCGAAAACTCCAGTCCAGGCTGCATGGACTTAAAGAAACCGCTCATAAATAAATTAACAAGAAAAGGAGACACTCCTCCCGTGTGCTTAACTACCCTTGACTGGTTTTCAAGGGACAAATTTGTATTCGCATTTTCATAAAGATTTTTAATGTACTGAACGAACGAGTCGCCCAGCCCGGCGCATCGAGCTCTTCCCAAAATTGGCGTTGTCAAACACCTTACTTAGGTCGACGCTCGCCATATATAGCGGACACTGACTCTTGCGTGCCTCCTGAACTGTTGCTGATAACAGGAGCACATATTCTGCGCAGCCATATCAACAAGCTGGAAAGCTCTTTGGCGGAAATCCAGAGTGACCACCTCGGAGCACATTGCGCCAGGATTTTATTAAATAGTCTCAATAGAACGGGGGCTACTGTGATAAGACGAAAGTCAGGTGGAACTGTAGTTCCCGTCTTTTTGGGGGGTGAACACTGTCCTCGCCCAATTTTTGGGGCTTTCCTCAGGTACATCAACAGTTTCAGAAGAACCATCAACTGTATTATCGGCAAGGCCTTGAGTTGCATTGCCGTGAATTCATCCAGTCCGGGTGCAGACTTTAGATACAAAAGGTTTTGTTTTAGATCCAGAGCATCTCTTGCTCGGGTCTTTGTCCCGCGGCGTCGTAGTCCACACTCACGCTATGCATGCGCAACTCTCCTCCTTCCCTCTCTCCAACAGCTGCGCGTTACTCTCTCCGCTCTCTCTCTCTACCAGCTGCGTGCACTTCGCGTGCGTTCGCTTCTCCTCACACTGCACGCGCATGCGCAACTCTCCTCCTCTAGTCTCCTTTCCTTCAAGTGTGAATATAAGCAGCGTTAGCGCGCTGCGCGCGTTTTCGCGTGGGAGCCAAGTACGTTAACCGTTAAGCCACGCGCGCGCGCGCGGGGGGGGGGGGGGGGGGGGGGGAGCTGCGCTCGTTCAGTTTACCCGCTGTTGACTCCACTTCACTCCATTCTTTCGATGAAGTGTGATGGAAGCAACAGTCCCGTCAGTTAGTGGGTTGGCGAAGCAAGCGTCAGCACCACCCCACAAACTAACAGCGACGCTACGTCCACTGAAGACAAAGCTGCGCAGCGAAGGGCACGCGACGCTGAGCGCAAACGCTTGAAGCGAGCGGCAGACCCTAAACTACGACAACGAGAAGCGGCGTCCATTCGTCAACGACGAGCGGCGGATGCTGAACTACGACAACGTGAAGCAGCGGCGGTTCGAGAACGTCGAGCAGCGGAACCTGAGGTTCGGGACCGTGAAGTTCAACGGAAACGTACGAAGCGAGCGGCGGAACCCGACCTTCGAGAACGGGAAGCCGCGTTGGTTCGTGAACGTCGAGCAGCAGAAGCTGAGGTTCGAGACCGTGAAGTTCAACGGCGTTACCAACACCGTTAATAACGAAAAGACGGTGAGTGTGCAGGCGAGCTGGTGGTAGCTAATCATGTGGTATTACACCTGAGACTGCGGCGGAAGAAATCGGAAGAACTTTCAGTAGAAGGAACAGACCCAGAGAACCGTTAATAACACCGTTAATAACGATCCGCGATGCTCCGCATCACCCCATGGGTCCCCTCGGGAAGATGGTGTAATTTTTTTTATCTGCTGTCATAACTCTAAAAAAGACATCCATCGACCGGCTTACAGGCGTCAGAACAGCCGGTGGATTGGGAAGACAGCGTCCAGTCATTATCTGTTCCCATGCGCACAGAAACGCTTGCACATTAGCCACCTCTGCCCACTGCTCTACATCAAGGATCGCACAAGCACAATCTGCCTGGCGCGTCTTTTTTTTTTTATATACAAGAGGTT